ACAGGCATGAAGGGGGCTTCATCGCATGGAGGACGTGCCGGGCACTCCCGGACTCAGGCCAGTCCTGTGCCAGGCTGACCCGAATCGCAGCCCCGGCCTCGGCCACTGAGACCCTGCCGTGAGCTCTGGGCCTCTGACACCTGCACACAGCCCTGTTTCCTCCTGAGCCGCGGCGTGTGGCCGGTGTGGTTCCCTCCCCCAACAGGTGGGCTGGAACAGGGTGAGGGATCTTGCACACGGGGAGGCGTGTGGGGGCAGGTATCCTCGTGAGTCAGTGGTGGAGCCCAGTTCCCAGCGGGGCAGCATCTGCGTCTGACCACCCCACCACTGGCCTCTCCTTCCTGCGGCCAAGAGGCCCTGCCAGCCCACACAGAGAGGCCACCACCCCACCCCAAGGACAGATTCCCTGAAACACACACACAGCAGAGCCCACCCTGCTCTGGCAGGTTCTTCCAACTCAGCCCCAGGCCCTCAGGCTGGTCCACTTCCTGACCCCTCCCTGCCATCCACCCAGGAGTTCCCCCTCTGGGCACGCTGTAAGGCCCCCTCCTCCAGGCAGCCCGCCCGGCACACTTGCAACCCCTTCGTCATCAGTTTTGGTTGTTGCCCAGCTCCTGCCTGGGGGGGACAGCAGCTTCTCATCTCTTGGCCTCCCCACCTCGTGTCCTGACACAGAGCCTGGCACACAGTAGGTCCCGGGAACGACCCACAGCACCCGGTGGGTGCGTGAAGGAATGAAGGAGGAAACAGGCGGGCTAAGGAAGGAGCGTCGGGATACCGGAGGCTCGAGGAGAACAGAGCTGGAGGCTGAAGGGAGCAGACGAGGGGCAGAGCGAGGGGCCTGCGGTGACGAGGCCGGGCAGGGCCGCTCCAGGGTCCAGCGCTGGCATGCGGACCTCTGCCAAGGCCCAGGAGAGAAAGGTGTGGGGTCTGGGCAGCGACCTGGGGAGGGTGTGGCCAGTGGGCAGAAGCAGAGAGGGGGCTGGGGTGGGTGACCAGCAGAGTCGCTGACGGCCCAGCTGCCCCCAGACCCAAAATGTGCAATGAGGACTGTCTTTGGGGAGGGGAGACAGCGCCAGTCAGCCCCCAGGGGAGGGACGGAGCAAGCCTGGGGTCTGGTGGGCAGGTCTGGGGAACAATCATGGGTGCCCCTAGCACCCCCAAGCCGGACCCATCTGCCTACCGGGTGTTCAACGGCTGCCAGGAGTGCTCCTCCCAGCACTGGCCACCCTGGTCGGACCCTGCTGGCCGGCCCCTCCTGACCATGAGGTCCCTGAGTGCATAGGTGGGGCCTCCCCAAGTCAAAAGCCCAGAGTAGAGCTCAGCCAGTGGGAGCTACTGTTGTTGGGGGGCAAGCGGGGGTGGTCCTGGCTCGGGAGGCAGCATGCTCAGACTGGCCGGGCCTCTTGGCTGTGACTGCAGAGGGTCAGGGTGTAGGGCCAGGGCTGGAGGAAGCCACCCATGCTGCGGGGCAATAAAAGAAGTCAACAGTGCAAATCTGGAAGGGAAGGTGCGTCTGCCCTTCCCACAGCTAAGCGGCAGCGTACATAGAAAACCCACAGGACCAATCAACCGTCAGCAAAAACAAAAGCTCAGACGGTGGTTCCTAAATTCAGTACCAATTTAGAAAAATCCAGCTTTTTCCACACGTAGATCTGTACTACTCACAGAAGCTATGAAGTCTCTAGGACTTCAGTTCAATAATTCCAAAATTTTCAGAGGGGTTTCAAGCTCAGTTTTAGAAGAAGAGTTAACATATGTTGTGGCAGCAGATTTTGGGGTGGCCCCAAGGGTCCTGGCCCTCAGTGACCCGCTCCCAAGCAGAGGCCAGGCCTGGTCTCACTTTCAACACACAGAATATGGCCAGGTGACACGATATCACTTCTGAGATGAAGTCACAAACTGTATCTCGATTTGCTCCCGCTCTCCCTTGCACCCCTGAGCAGGTAACGTCACCCTCCTAGCCCCAATTTCTCCTTTGGAAAATGGAACACTACTACTACTGTCTCAACAGCTGACACCTTTAGGAGTCTGTGAGAAGCGACCGATGCGTGGGCTGCCTGCAGGTGAGCACACCTGGGACCTGAGGCTGGCCGCGTGGAAGCAGTGGCGTGAGCCGGCGGGAGCCCCCCCAGTCCACAACGCCAAGCCCCGGGGGCCTGCCGGGGTCTCCAAACCAGCCCCAACCCCAAGGAGCCCAACTGCACAGCTGCACCCCGGCTAGCCGGCAGACAGGCCCCCGAAACGCCCACGTTCTAGGAGCGACATAAGGGGGGTGGCAGGGAAGGGGGGGGGGCGGCGAAGCCCAAGCACCTGCTTTGTATAAATTACAACAAACTTGCCTTTTCTCTAAGGACACTGAGCTGTCACAGGCCGCGGCCACAGGTCGCACAGGGATATGTGGGCACGAAGCTCGCGTGTCCAGCGAGTGCAGTCACTACAAACGCGGGAGGATGCCGCCGCCCCATCACCAAGCCCGCC